TTAACCCATTTGCGATCAACTATGTACCTTGTGCTATTTATCTGTGCTGAATATAAAAAAATTCACATTTTTTAACCCTTTGCACTCCAATGGCGCCGTTATGGCAACACGCGTAATTACTTTAAAATCTAAAATTCACTTCTTTTCATATTATTAAAATAATGCAAATTAACGTAAGAAATAGAAATAAATAAATTCGCAAACGTTAAAAATCTTCCCTTTTTTTTTTTCAAAACAAAAGTTTCACTGCAAAAGTACATCTACTAGAATTGCTGATTAATCTTATGAAAAAATGCTTGGAATACAAAGGGTTAAATTATTGAATTAAGTTTTTCTACATTTATCGAGCTTTAAATTTTGACCCGTTCCAAAAAAAAAAAAGGTTGTCCTATGTGATCAACGGTAGCAAATGAATTAAAACCACGTCGTTCACGAACTCGAATAAAATATTTGAATACTTCAAGAGGACTCTATTAACCCTTTCGCGACTAGCGCCGGTTATATCCGGCGTCCACTAAATGCTTCACACTGGCTAGCGCCGGTTATATCCGGCACCCACTAAGCGTGTCGCATTGGCTCGCGCCTCATCAACTCAAAGTGAACTCGACAACGTTCCCTTTATCCGAGATAAGATTTGAAAAAACGCGAGACACTCTTAACGTGTATGGTGTGCACTAGTGGCACGACGACCCGTTCGTTAGTGGCGTACCGATGGCTAGTTCCGCCGTCGCGAAAGGGTTAATTTCAGTAGAACTGTTTCCAACAATATCGATCGATTCGACGACGAAGAAGAAGAAGGTTATCGAACGTTGCGATATCCAGCCGGATCTCCCTTGCATGATAACCGAAATATGACATGTTTTCGATGGTGAATTAGGGGTGGGGAGTGACGTCACGCGAGTGGGGTGAGTGTAGCATGACTCACGAGTGAATGCCGGCAGCGAAAAAGGGGATAATACACCTATAGCCGTACCCTTCTGCAACATTTGGAAGCAAGGAGGGTGGCCTCCCTCCCGATCGGCTGGTTTCGGAACCCGGGGGGTTGGGTTACACTTTGCAACTATCTGCACGACTGTTTCTGCAGTTTCTACAGTTTCTGCGTGTTCTATGAGGCAAATGTTGGAGAACTGGCGGTTATTGGAATATCGACAGGGGGGTGTGCAAGTGGGAATTAAAAAGGGATCGTTTGGAGTGGGTGATTTGGAGCATTATCTTCGAATTCTGAGTTTTGGTGAATTGTGCGCGATCGAAGATCATCGAAGAGAAATAAAAATTGGGTCAGACAACGGGTCAGACTCGAGCGAAAGATTTTGGTCAAGATCTGATAAAAAAACAGTTACATCGGTAAGAAAAATTAATATTAATTCCAATTTTCCATTTAATCTGTAAAACTAAAGATTGCCAAATTTAATTAATCTACAACACATCACTTTTTCTTGCTTAATATAGTACTAAAACAGTGAACAGCCGACAAGGGGTCGACAGGGGGGACAAATCATACGTCAAGGGGTTAAGTAAACTGTGG